AGGAGGCATCACACTACCGGACTTCAAACTATACTAAAAGGCTACAGTAATCAAAATAGCATGGTACTGGTACCAAAACAGAGATATAGACCAATGGAACAGAACAGAGGCCTCAGAGGCAACACAACACATCTACAACGATCTGATCTTTGACAAACCTGACCAAAACAAGCAATGGGGAAAGGATTCCCTGTTTAATAAATGGTGTTGGGAAAACTGGCTAGCCATGTGCAGAAAGCAAAAACTGGACCCCATCCTGATGACTTACACTAAAATTAACTCCAGATGGATTAAATATTTAAACATAAGACCTAACACCATAAAAACCCTAGAAGAAAATCTAATCAAAACCATTCAGAACATAGGCGTAGGCAAGGACTTCATGACCAAAACACCAAAAGCATTGGCAACAAAAGCCAAAATACACAAATGGCACCTAATCAAACTCCGCAGTTTCTGCACAGCAAAAGAAACAATCATTAGAGTGAATCAGCAACCAACAGAATGGGAAAATATTTTTGCAATCTACCCATCTGACAAAGGGCTGATATCCAGAATCTACAAAGAACTAAAACAGATTTACAAGAAAAAAAAAAGAAACCCATTCAAAAGTGGGCGAAGGATATGAACAGACACTTTACAAAAGAAGACATACATGAGGCTAACAAACATGAAAAAATGCTCAACATCACTGGTCATTAGAGAAATGCAAATCAAAACTACATTGAGATATCATCTCACGCCAGTTAGAATGGCAATCATTAAAAAATCTGGAGACAACAGATGCTAGAGAGGATGTGAAGTAATAGGAACACTTTTACACTGTTGGTGGGACTGTAAATTAGTTCAACCATTGCAGAAGACAGTGTGGCAATTCCTCAAGGACCTAGAAATAGAAACTCCATTTGACCCAGCAATCCCATTCCTGGGTATATATCCAAAGAATTATAAATCATTCTACTATAAGGACACATGCACATGAATGTTCATTGCAGCACAGTTTCCAATAGCAAAGACCTGTATCCAATCCAAATGCCCATCCCTGATAGGCTGGACAGGGAAAATGTGGCACACATACACCATGGAATATTATGCAGCCATCAAAAATGATGAGTTCGTGTCCTTTGTAGGGACATGGATGAACCTGGAAACCATCATTCTCAGCAAACTGACACAAGAACAGAAAATCAAACACTGCATGTTCTCACTCATAGGCAAATGTTGAACACTGAGAAAACATGGACACAGGGAGGGGAGCATCACACACTGGGGTCTGTTGGGGGAAATAGGGAGGGACAGCAGGGGGTGGGGATTTGTGGAGAGATAGCTTGGGGAGAAATGCCAGATATAGGTGATGGGGAGGAAGGCAGCAAATCAAACTGCCATGTGTGTACCTATGCAACAATCTTGCCTGTTCTTCACATGTACCCCAAACCTAAAATGCAGTAAAAAAAAATTTTTTTTTAAGAAGAGTAAATGAAAAGGGAAATATAAGAAAAGAAAATGAGATTTCGAATTCTGTCCCCAAATGATGCTTTTCCCTGACCCATGATAAAAGGATTAAGAGATTTACAATAATAAACAGATTTGATTTTTCTGATCTAACCATGACTTCAGAGAGATGGCACATGCTGGGAAAATCAAGCAGGAACCCACAAAAACGGTTTTATTACTTTCCATGAGGGATGCATTCAGGGTTATTGTTTCTATTCATAAATTGGATTATTTCAAATATTAAATAACTTGGATAAAGAATAGAAATGACAGCCACTGTCATTCTATGATAGTATTTTGCTACTGGCTGAGACCAATGGTGAATGTAAACTAAAATCTATTTTAAAACAGCTATTTAAATCACAACCATTTTCAAAGGCAAGCACTATATTAAAATACATATACACTTGTCCAACGGTTTCTGCAAGGGATTGGTTTTAGGACACCGTCACTCCCACCCAATTCAACAAATACCAAAATCTGAGAATGCTCAAGTCCCTGATATAAAATGGTGTAGTATTTGCATATAACCTGTGTATATCCTCCCACTTTAAATCATCTCTAGATTACTTATAACATCTAAAACAATGTAAATGCTATGTAAATAGTTGTTATACTGCATTTTTTAGGACATCGTGACAAAAATAGTCTGTACATGTTAAGTACAAATAAAATTTTCATTTCTAATATTTTCAATCCTCGGTTGAATCCACAGTTGATTAAATCCATAGATTCTGATCCCCCCACAGGTATGTATGTATGTGTTCATGAAACAAATAAAGCAAATTTGACCATAAAACAAAATATTGTAGGGCAATTTTATTTTCCCAGGGATATATATATATATATATGTTAGAGACAAGGTCTCACTCTGTCACCCAAGCTGGAGTGCAGTAGTGCCATCATGGCTCACTGTAGTCTTGAACTTCTGGGTTCAAGTGATCCTCCCACCTCATCCTCCCAAGTAGCTAGGACTACAGGTGTGTGCCACTATACCTGGCTATTTTTTTTTCAGTTTTTAAATTTTTTTTTTGTAAATACAGGATCCCACTATGGTGTCTAGTCTGGTCTCAAACTCCTAGACTCAAGTGACCCTCCCTCTCAGCCTCCCAAAGTGCTGGGATTATAGGTGTAAGCCACCTCACCTAGCCATATTTTTAAAGCTCACATGTAAAATTTCATATTTAAAAGTGTCCTTCAGAGAATTCAGCTGAAAATAATGCTAAAGAGAGATTGAGGTGATAGCATCTAAAAATCAAAGTCCAAAACTGAAAGATACCTACTGGTCACCATAGCTTTCCCCTAACCCATCTCAACCTATTTATTTCATGGGCAACGTTTCTCACTTCAGCTCATTTTTGCAATCCTCACGCCTCTAACCTGCATCTGTTGCTATCAATCCTTGTTGGCAACCTCAAACCATAAAAGCTGTCCAGGCTTGGGCCTTTCCTTCAACAATGCCAGCCCCATCAAGCCTATTGTCTACCACTTACATAATATTACCCCAATATTGAGTGTTACCTCTGAAAATACTATATTCCAGACTCATAATTCTGTCCATTCAGGCTTCCAAATTATGTAAAATTAACTTAGTGTCTGATTTATCATGTGTGAAATTTTAAAATCTTCTATGGTTGGAATTTCCTTAGCAAAAATGGTAAAGGTAGCTAGCTAACTTTCACTGACTACTTAAGTTACATCAGGAGCAGTTCCTGTGTATAATGATATCTCATTTTATCCTCACAAAACTCCATAAGGGCGGCATTCATATTATGCACTACTTTGCAATTATTGACAAACCTAGAGTAGTTAAGCAGCTCTTAGGACTGTCAAAGATGAATTTCAAATGCAGTCAGTTGTCCTCTGGGACCCTCCTTTAACACACCACATTAGACTGTCTTGGATAACTGATAAACAGCTGAATAACCAACAAATTCCTGACGCTAGTGCAAGGCCTGACCACAGAAAGCAGGTATGTAGTAAGCAAATCAATTAAAAATAATTATTTTCCTGGCATTTTCTTTAAATTATACCTTTTTTCCCTTTGAGTTATTAACTAATGAATTAATATACAACTTCACAGAAAGCCCCAATTGTTTCTTTTCCAGGCCTCAATCAAAAAGTATTACAAACCTCTAGTTCTGGGATCCTATGAAAAGTATTATGAGGCCATTCAATAATTGTTTTGAGAATACATTGATTTTTGCTAGCACTGATACATAGCCAGTAAAGTACAAAACAGTTGATGCACCAGAGTGAGCTTGTAAAGCCATAAATCAGGTAGCATCAGTTGCATGTTGGAATCTTCACAAGGCTTCCCAGCCAGCAGAGATTGAACACCCTAACACCATCCAGCCCCAGATACTCCCTTGTTTCATTTCCTCCACGCTCTCCTCCTGTCCCAGGTCTTGCTCAGGTTACCACTCTAACTTAATACAGGTTTCTACTTAATCGCTTTTCTCATATCTCTCACTTTATCTGAAGTTGCATTTTATGTTCACCTGTTTCCTGGTTTTTCTCTCCCTCCAGCATACTCCATGAGGTCTAGCCCTGGATCCTTTTACTACAGTTACCCTAGGCCCTAATAAATATCTGTTGACACAAAATAAATATCTATGGAATGTTTGACTCATTAAAGACCCAGAAATGTATAGAATACATCTTAGCGGATCATCTGGAGAAAAAATGCACTTTGCCCTTGTATCCCCTTGCGCATCTCAATACACCAGTGGTCGGTTATCTAACTCCACGCCAAATGACAAGAAGGCAAAAATCAAACCGTTCTCTTCTACTCTTGGTTATTTGGCTCCTTCCGTTTTCTGTTACTGTCAGCACTTGGAAAATGACGTTCTTCCTTCAGGCCTATCCAGGTGATAATAAATAACCTCAAATCTCGACATCTTTTTCACAGCCAAAGCACTACAGTGTTGAAATGCTGAAAGAGCTACACTGCAGTCACATACAGTTACCAAACACACACACAGTTACACATGCAGTGAAAACCTGTTAAAGAGCACCTGCCCAGGGCACCGGGGTTAAGTAGAAGGAGACATCAGAAAATATATCACAATCCCATATGTTATTTTACAACTGAAATAAAAGAACTGTGATTCCACAACAGATAAAATGAAAAGGTCACTGCCATTAGAGAAATAATTTTTACCGAGCTGCACCTATTTGTCTTCAAATCTCGTGCAACTTCAGAAAAAGTCACAGATGCAATCAATAGAACCACCCATGACTAGACTGGCAGGTAAAGAGATTGTGGTAGTTTCAAGAACCTACAGACCCACGCCTTGCCTGAACATGCTATAATAGTCACTGATAACTGTATACACCAAACCCTGATTTTATCTTCAAAGAAACTTGTATTACCCACATAAACTGAACTGGAAATTATAAAATAAAGATTATTGTAAAGATAAAATTCTTAAAGTGTCTCAGTTCCAGTTTCCCAGGCAACATGGGCTTTTTCTAGAAAACTTAGTGCCTCTCTCTCTTTGCAGGTCCCCTGGTGTAGACAATTACATGACTAGCACTTCCCATGCCCAGAGTGATGTATCTGCTTCCTGGAGGCATCGGCTATGACTCTCTTCCTACTTCCACCCAGTGGCTCCAGTTGTGGCTGCCAAGAAAACTCCAACCGATGGAGGATGAGAGGTAAAACCAGGACACACGAAGAGCTGTTACCATCATCTTTCACCTGGATTCTCCTAAAGCTACAGCTTCTCATCTCGTCACTCCAAGCTACTAATTCTTCTTTCTGAGCCAAAGGCCCAAAAGGCAAATGGGAAATGACTTGTCAGATGAAATCACCAATAACTGAACATAAAGCAGACTTAAATGAGGACAAAACCTTTTGTATTTATTCAGTTTATATCAGCAATATGATTATCTCAAAGTTCTCCTAACAAAGCAGCCTGGCACAAAGAGGTAACAAAAAGCATAGTCACCCACAGTCACTGATTTGTCCCAGAACATCTCCAGCTGGGACAAATTATTCTGCCATCTCTGCTCTGCCCAGAGGACCACACACATTGCCGTGCCTAGGGAAAGGGGCAGGGAAATGATGCAGGCTTTACTGTTGCCCTTGACCCCTGCAGCTAATTCAAAGGGACATAAAAATCCCTCATTTCAGACTTGTATGACATTGTGCAACCCTCCCTGAAGATAGGCAGGAACACTGGTCTCCCATGTCCCCACTTTCCCTTTGGGAAAGATCATCACATCAGCCAGGCAGAGAACAGCCCCAGTTGACCCAATGTACTTTCTCTTTAGCCTCTCAACCCTTCTTCCTTTGGTTGTTCATGGCAACCTGAGTTTTCAGAGAATTTCAAAGTGATGATGACAAGCTGTCTGTGGCTATCTCAATCAGCTGAAGATGTTTAAAATAAGGTGCTACAGTGAATAGGGAGTTGAAAACAAAATCCTCTGGGATGGATGGCACATTGACCCAAGCCATTCTGATCACACACAACTTTAAGTTTCTATTTCGTGGATGACATTAAATGCTTTGAAGGTTTGGAGTCCACATCTATTAGCTACTCTTTCACAGTCTGTGTACAAGATTATAGTGAAAACAAGTCCCATGCCCTATTCTGCCATACATGTTGACTGACTAGCTTCATTAGCAAGGAAGAACAAAACAGTCAATGTGATCTCTTTCTGTGAACTCCATGAAGTCCTAGCTCTCCTTTTTGGTGTCAAACCATCACCTTCCATGAAAGGTTTCTGTGAGGTGAACACCATTTCCAGAAAGTAGGATGCGGGTACCCTGACATTAATGTTAACCTACTTGAAATCTTCCTACTTAATGGATAGACACAGTATTATTTAGGAATTAAGCTTCAAGCAACATTCTTAAAGAACAGGTTATAGAATTTATTATTTGTTAGAATTTATGCAAAAGGGGGAAATGTCTTTTAAAAAATTAGGCAATGTACATGTCTTGAATAACTTTGATGTTATCAATGTGAGCCAGTTTCTAGTATTCATCATGCTAACAAGCCACAAATGTCACAAATTAAAGAAATATACCTACATTCATTATGCTAACCAACCATCTGTCTGGTATTGATCCAGGTACGGATAGCTGAAATGCTCGTGGTAGCCAACTGGGGAAGATGGCTTTTCTGATATAATGCCTGCAGTCCACCTCGGGGGTGTAAATTCTCCATTAGGGCACCTGACAGTTTTAAGAGTCAAAGCACAAGCTAACTAGAAATTATATAATGTCACATTGTTCCAGGATGCAATATTTAAAATCAAACTACCTGCATCATAGCTAGATCTGGAAGAATACAATTTTAATAATCAGTTTTTAACAAGAATTATTTTCAAAGTAACTTAACTTTCCTCTTCATTCATTTGGCAGACATGAAGGAAGGTAAGGTGAAAGCTCAGAGATTTCTGCCTTAGCCCAAGGAGCAGAGCCTACAGAAGTACATATGTAAGGTCTTCTTGCTACTAGGGAGTGAAGTCAGAGCAATCGTGGGTGTGTACATGTGTGCATGCTGTGTGTGTGTTCTCACTACTCAGAGGTAAATATTTTCTTTTGAGGTTTATTGTGGTTTGTTGATTTGTTCCCGTATTGGTTGAGTTTAACTTCCAACCTCCACTCCACTCTACAGTAGAAGAGATCTTCTTAGAAGAGGATGCCTGAAATAAGGCTAAATTCTTGAAGTTAGATACAGGTCCAAGAGACTCTAGCACTTAGAATTGCAGAGGCTTCCGTTTCAACCTGCTTCATCCTTTGAGTTTCAAAACCAGAAAAAAAGACATTCAGCAGGACTAACAACTGTTTGTGAATGTACTGTTGCTAATTACTTAATGCTAAAATTATTTAAAAGGCATTGCTTGGAAATGTTTACAGTATGTGATTTGATTAACAAAACTATTAAGTGTATGCTTACTATCATCAATAATTTTTACTATGTATTTATTTGTATTGGGAACACATTATTTGTTCCCTTAGAATTCTGACAAATAGAATCTTAGCTTTGAGTTTCTGAAGTTGTTCTGCTGGAGATAATTTGATTGATTTTTATTACTCCTGGAGGCAAAACTTAATGAGTGAAGACAACCTGAGAATCATTCTCACCATCAGAGTTGTTTAACAATGGAATGTAATTTTTTGAAACTCATAATTATCTCTTTTTCCTGTATTTCCAGTTGCTTTATGCTCTTGCATTACTTTTCTTTCTCGTCCACTGACAGTTCTCCACCTCCATTTCCAAACTTAAATTCATAAACATAAGCCCATGCAACCTTCTCCAGTTATCATCCCCAATATATATACATCTTGATTTCTTCTGAATTAAGATTCTAAAGGAAATCTTCATAATAAATGAAGTGTGTAGCAGAAGAGGAGGGAGAGAATAAAGTACAGGGATACAATAAGAGACCCAGTATGAAATCTAATTGGTCTGTAAACTGAAGAAAGTCATTTTTCAGGGTCCAGTTGGGGCCTCAATGCCTCCTTAATTCTGTTTCCTAATTTAACCACCAAGACCATCATTACTAACTCTGAACTACTTTGCCCTCTGCAAATCCTGTTTCTGAACTGTGAATACCATAGAATTACCCCTTTTCTCTCCCTTGAAGATCACTATTGCTGGACCCCTGGAGTACCTTGTCATGCTTATTTCCTGAGACAAGTACCAGAGCAGATGTTGACTGGGAAAGTTATTTTGCCTACTGCCATTTACCCTTAGTAGCAGATGCCACCCTGCCCAAAATCTGTCTACTCACCAAGTCTCTTCCTGTTTTGAAGACTACCTTCTCTTTTAGGCTGTCTCTTTTTTCCACTACTGGTGATTTCCAATGCAGCTCACTCAAGAATTAGAGGCAATCGACATCACCTAAACCAAGTTAATTAAGCCCAGCTTGAGCCAGGGTGGTAACTGTCAATTTCCCCAGGTTCTCTTTAGGTAACTCAGCTTTTAGCAATTTTCAAGGAAGTAGTTTACCAAACTCTTATTTCTGTAATGTTGAGATAGTAAAATATTTGGTAATGTGTTAAGAGAGACATATTCTCTTCCCCTAAAGGAAGAAGGAAATTTCATTATTTCATTGGAAGATGCCTTTCAATGTGACATAATTAAACGATTAAAAGGCACACCTTGGTCTAGATAGGAAGCCTTAGGTGCAGGTAGCATGAAATGAATGCTAAAAATCTAAAATACGTATTCAAAAACTGTGTTCTAAGAAATATTTAGAATGTGTGACCCCTGAGCCTGTGCAAAATGAGTTGTAGAAAAATTGGAAAGTCAAAGAAAGAGATCTTTTTAGGGGGTCTAAGCTATGAACCTTAGTTCCCATGATGCATGTCAGAAGTACTCCTAGGAAAATAGACACAGAGAGTAAAGAGTAGGGCAAACTCCGCCTAATCAGACCTTTTCAAACTTATTTTCTGAAAGGAAAGCTAGAACAACTCTTGCTGTGTGGGGAATTTCTAGTCATCCCCCTTACTGTGAAAGTTATAGAGAAAAGAAACAAAACTCTGGGACTCCCTACAGCAATGGCCCACTAATAGGATTAAGAACATTTGGAGAATAAACAGCATATAAAGCCTTGAAGAAGTTGGTTCAACATACACATCTACCACCATGGTGCCACCCAACCAGCAGTCTCCAGCAACAAAGACATCGCAGAAGAATTCACATGTCACATCACTCCTCTTCATTCTGCCCTCCATTCATCACAGTTTTTATGAAGCACTGTGTGATATAAGTTAAAGTTTGTTTCCATCATTGATACACTCCTATACATCAAAATGTGTTTTCTGATTTCTTACTGTTTTGGGCATTACAGTGCTTTTTCTACATTTCAAATTGATTCCTTTTATCTTTAAGTTTTCTTCCTTCTTTATTTGATAATATTTATGATATAACAAATTCAAATAATATTTACAGAGCTCTTTACAGTGGATTTTTTTGGTATTTACTGAGGGAGAAACAAATATAAATTTGGCGGTTCTTTACACTCTAACATATAAAATAAAACATTATACAGTAAATTCAAGTAAAAAGTATTTATTAATATACAATAAATGAAAAGTACATACTATTTGTATAAAATGCAACCAACTTAAGCAGTAAATACAATTGTAATAAATAATACAATACATATATAATAAAGAAATACAAAACAATAAGCATAATAAATGAGTGAATACACAAACACAATACACAATAAATTCAAGTAAGAAATACAAGCTATAAAATTTATAATAAAGAAATACAAAACAATAAGCATAATAAATAAGTAAATACACAAATACAATATACAATAAATTCAAGTGAGAAATACAAGACACAAAATTTAAAAATGCAAAATGTAATACATTCAAGAAATAAATGCAATATACATTTAAGTAATTCAAGTAATTTACACTCTAGCATATACAATAAACCAGTAAATTTAATACCCATGATGAGTGATGTAAGAATTGAGCTTTCCATTCCTCTCTTCTTTAAGTGGAAAATTCAACTAATATTTCTGGTCTTCACTGCCTTTATTTGTAAAATGAGAAGGCGGTGTTAGTCAGTGTTATCTCTAAGGTTTTTATAACTATAAATATCCTACTGATCTATAAATATTTGATGTTTGAGGAGGAAGCATGGAATAATAGCAAACGCTGCTGGTGACCAACGAAAAGTCTCCTTATTCCTTGGTAAGAGAGGCCTAGTTTTATTTGAGTCAACAATATGCATGTGCTAAAGATTGGCATTTAAGACCTAATAATGAATTATTAACAGACGTTGCTAAGAGGAGATTTAGGAGAAGTCTTTTAGGATAGAGATTTAAGTGGCATTCCTCTTTGGCCCTTTATACTTTATCCATTTTCAAATGCCCCAATCATGTACAGGAGTCTGGGGGTGCAGCAGCTAGCTGTGACCATGAGGTGGCAAACAAGAGGTCCAAATCTTACATTTTGAAGATGGGAATAGAAAGACAGAATCACCCTGAGTCTCTAATGGCATCCCTGAATTACCTGCCCCAAGATTTCTCTGTGTGTGTGTGTGTGTGTGTGTGTGTGTGTGTGTGTGTGTGTGTGTGTGTGTTTATAACGCAAATAAATTCCTATTATGTAAGCCACTGGTAGTTGAGTTTTATGTAATTCCTAATGTAAACCTAATTCTAAATAAACAGAGAGTGAAGGAAGATAGAAACACATCCATATAATTGTCATCATTATATTTAAAATAAAACATAATTATCTTTGTCTGAAATAACTTAGTTTTCTTTGGAAAGAGATTAAATAAGAAAACAAGAATTTTTTTAAATCCCACAATTATCTATAAAGAAACATGCAGTTGCAGAGTGAGACATTTTTGAAGAACCCTAACTTTTGAAACCTGTGCATAATTATGTATTGTCTAGCACCACTTCTTATTTCAATGACAACTAGTTTGCTTTTGTTCATTCCAATTAGGTCAACATCCTTAATCTCCAGTAGGTCATTCTCTGGAGATAAGAGTTTCTGATACCAGCAGAACCTCTGTCCTCCATGACTGGTCAGTGGGGTGGCGGCCCTGAATGGAGAGCCAGCTTATGTGGAGCACGATGTGAATATGGGTTAAACCTCGAGATCAAGAGCACAGGACTCCCCTATAGATACACAGGCATCAAATTGTGAACTGTACTGTTGTTCCCCCAAAAAATCAGCACACCAGTTAAAATGAAAAGCTAGCTTTTTTTGAAAAATTACACAAGAAATGATTCCTTAGAAAAGCCTCAGAGCTTTATCCAGTTCTTAGATATAACCCAAAGGAAAACTCATTCTTTATTCCTTTTTCCTAATAAAAAAGAGTAATTTGTGGGATAAAAATCACTTCTTGTTTTCCACCCTTACCTGCTACCCCACAACAGGCACATATGCATGCACACACACACACGCACAAGTGCACACACACATACACGCACACGTGCTCACGCGCACAATGCACACACACGTGCACGCACACACACGCGCGTGCACACACACACACAGGCTCCTTTCTCAACTGGAAATTCAAGCACTTTGAAGGAATTTTTTTTAAGATTATAATAGAAGCAATACAAAAACTTAAAACCTTAGACTCACTGTTTGAAAAAGTACTAGCCATTTCCTGCCATGAATAACTTCTCGCTGGTTTGTTCCCCGCTCCTCAGCCACATAACACCTCTTCCGCCTCTCTGGTTGCTTTCTTCTGGTTCCTAGCCGCAGCCTGTCACACTTCAATCCTGTTAATGTCTTATCCATAGCATTTTAGTTCTCAGCCATCCACCTCAAGCTTTATTCCACACTGAGGTTTCTATATCCAAAAGTTTAAAGGCCTCCTCCTTTCCACTTTTTTGAGCTCAAAGAATAGGCAGATATTTTGAAATGACAGATTGTGAAGTTAGATTCCCTATTCACTAGTCCCTTTAAGGAGAAGCTCCTGTGCATCACGAGTTCTCTTTTCCTCTTTCTGTCTCATATGCCTAAATGAAAGGGACCTACTCAATTCATCAAACCTTTATTAACCACTGTCTATGTAGCAGATGCTGCTCAGTATCGGAGAAACAGAAGGAAAAACATGCAGTCCTTTATCTTGAGAAGTTCAGAGTCAACATCTGTGGAGACACAAATGTTGAAACACAACTGTAAAATCCTGTGGTCATCACCACAAGAAAATCATGTATAAAGAATTATGAGAACAAGCTAAATCCTGTCAAATACAATCTTCAAAATCTTAAATATGCCTACAGCACAGGTGTGGACACCTTGGTCAGGTGACAACACACCTGCACAAATACCCTCTGGCATGCCAGTGAATCTATGCAAATTCTACTAACTTTCACCCAATTGTCCTAGGCTTCAGCCTTGTAGAAGTTATCATAGGCTTGTTCTTAGTATTTCTCTAAATTAAATGTTTATATTTGAAATTATTGGTAAAAGCAAGAAGTAACATTTTCACTTCTGCAGTGGGATTTCCTTCAAGTTTCACTAAAAAAGGAATATCAGCAGGTTCCCCTTATGCTCTTTCTTGAGTCAAACCCGTGATGTAGCCCTATGGTAGCTCACACACAGATAGCACAATGCTACAGGCTAGAACCCATCCATTTCCCTGCACCCACCTAGCTTTTAACAGTCAAATTGTCAGCTTGCCAAACACTGATTCAGCAATTTTCCGTATTTCCTGGTGTGAAAGGGCCACCACCCTCAGTATTTCTCAAGACGAAAATCAACTAGTGGTTAGAATGCAACCATGAGTCACAGAGACGCTAATGCCAGCCCTGGCCCTCACTCACTCTTTGACTGCTGTCCTGTACTCTCCACCAGTAGGTTTCCCAAAATATTCAGGTACATTTTTCTATTTACTCGTCATAAGGAAGGAGCTATACTTAGAGATTATTTGCAAATTGGCTATTATTGTGGAAACCTAAATAGCTGTTCATAATAATAAAAAGACTTAGATTCGGAAATTAAGAAAACAAAATCCAAATCTACAAAAAGCAGGTGCAGGTCATCACCTTTATCTCCTACCTTTGAGAGGCATGCAGGCTGAAGCCCAGACAGCTAACTAATCTTCCCAAAAAGACCCAGCACTGCAGTGCCCAAATCAGCACCAATCAATAAAAAAATAATGGGGCCACAGTGCAAACCATGTGTATAATTTTTAATTTTCTAGTTAAAAAAGTGAGAAAGAAATAAGTGAAATTAACTTCAATAATATATTTTAATTCACCTAATATGTTCAAAATATTATTGTTCCAAAATGTAGTCCATTTTTTTAAATTATGTTTGTTGCACTCTTTCTTATATTAAATCTTTTTTCACATTAAATTTTCATATTAAAATACAATGACCGTTTCATACTTACAGTACATCTCAATTTAGACTAGCGACACAGCAAGTACTCTAATAGCCACTTGTGACAAGTGGCTACCATATTGGGCAACATAGGCCTCACCTGACTTCAGTGATTCAGTCTCCTAGCAGAGGTCAGCGTAAACTAACAGGATAAAACTAAAAGCCACATAACTTCTTTAAGCCTATCAGAGCCTTATTGCTACCTATTCTTATATTCTCTAAGACCCTTTTAAAAAGAATATTATTCTTTTATATAACATCCTTCTCCCTTGCTATGCCATTCTGGGACTTCACTCTGATTAAATCCTTTTGAAATTAACTTTTAAAAACCTTTTTTCTGTTTACCTGGGCTCCCTGAGTATGTCTAGGGAGATTATCAGTAGGAATTTTCTTATTGCTTGTAAATTATGTTTAATTCCTAAATTTTCTTTTTCTGCCTTATCTGAAAGCATTCCAGACAAAAATTAGTCACAGAAACTAGCTACTTTTTGTTTTTTTATCAGCTGTTGGCCTTACGGGGAGAACTGAAAACGTCATTGTGATTATCAACCCTCTTAACAGTTGCTCTAACTTTGTCAAGATAAGGTTCATTCTCAACAATAATGTGTCTTAAAATGATGTTTACTTGGATCGTTAAACAGAGTAATGCACGACATCAAGTTAGGAATTTCCAGTGATCAATATTTCAAGTGGGTAAGATTACAACAAGCCTAGATGTCCACTGAAAGTTAAGGGGTGAGTGGACAAGATCTGGGAAACACACTACTTTTTCTCTGACTTTCCAGGAGAAACCATATTCCTGGGGCTGTCAGCTTCAATGCAGACAGGTGTGAGGACTCCAGGAAGCTATTCAATGTGCAACAGGACTATACATCACATGTCTCTTGGCACTGACTTTTTCTGTGGACAAACCACAGAGTGTAACTAAAGTAGCTCCCAAGCAAAAATATGAAATCTACAAAATTAG